AGCGAGCCTGACCACCCGATCCCATTAGTTGCCTCCTACTGAAAAGCATGGGTTGCTGAAAACCAATTCTAACCAGGATCTTCACTTGTGCATCTCAAGGCTTTGCATGGGACTGATTGAAATTGACTTTTGCTGTGGCAGTTTTGTGATTTAGTTGTAGAATATGAATTCCTGTTATTACCAAAACAATGCACTATGAAAGTTCCATTTGAATATTTTTGTGTGATCTTTCACACACAACACATTTCAAAATATATGAATAGAATTAAATCAGTGTGAATCCTGCAGTTGTATATGGTGGTTAAATCTTGGAGAAAGTGCTGATAGGAAATCTGCCAGGAACAAATCTGTGTCTGTGAGTCTGTGTGAGCGAGTGAGTGAAAATAGAAGTGAGTGAGTGAGTGAGACTGAGTGAGGGGTTTCACAGATTCCTTCTTAATCTGTATACCTTCAACAGCTGAGACAATTGCATGATAGTATGACAACTTACTTGTATTGGATCCACGCCTTATTCTATCAAACTCTGCTCCAAACATCATGTCATCAGAGTTTGCTCCAAAGTTATCATCACCGAACGGGTTCCAATCTGATAAATCTACAGATAATGCCCTTATGTGTTCTGACCTGTCAAAGGAAAACAAAACATCAACCATAAATCTCAGAAAAAGAAAAGAAAAAGAAGTTACATAGCCATTTAACAATCATCGGGAATTCTTCTGGCAACTTGGTTCAAACTTCAACAAATCTTAAAATTTACAAACAATATATGGTTGATTTTCACGATTCATAACAAGGTAGCTTTTATTCACGGTAGTTCCTGCGCTGTGTTACACCAGCTCTCAAATGTAGTTTTTGTAAAGCAATGGAAGTAGAGTAAGCAAGGTAGTAGGGAACATAATCTGGAACTATACCGGTAATACATACTAAAATACTAAACTAATTCCAAGTGGGGTCCAGTGTGTGAAATAGCCGCCTGCATGTGGCCATAAAATATTTATTGGGCTAAAGGTACAGAAATATCCCAGCCCGTGAGGATTTGAAGTGCACATGTCCTTGCTGATGAAAGTAAACAAGTTCTTCTGATTCTGTAGATCAATACAACCATCAAAAATAACAAAACACAGAATCAATATTTGTAACAGATTGCCTTATTGGAGTTATCCTGTTTCATCTTGTTTGAGTGACTGTTGTTACTGAAACACTATGTATAACAAATATTCTGATTGGTGGCCTTTCACCATTTAACCAATGACAAGCTGTGTTACTTAACAAACTTTGACTTCACCAACTTTGAGACAAAAGTCAACTTCAATTTTAAAATTACCGGTATTTAATTTGGTGTGACAACTTACAATGGAGGAGAGTGGACTGGTGTTGTGCTGGCTGACTTAGACTTGTTCTCCAGAGGAGCGGACAGAAGGTTGCTGGTTGCATGGTATGCCCTGCACAAACAGAACATCTTCACGGTAATGACGCTGTGATACACTTGTAACCCTTTAAAACATTGTCCACTCTAGACTTGTTCAACTGTTGCTCGTAGCTCACTTGTGAGCAAAGCTGTTGGGCATTAACAGCCTGTCAATCCATACTTTCCTCCCAAAATATGTGCAGGTGTTTTTATTACCCTCTCTAGGAGTCACTCATTTTTCAGTGACCCTCCCCTGATTCCCTCTGTCCTAACCACATTTATAATAAATTATCGATCCCTAAGCGAAATTAATGAATGACAAGTCTAACACAATTGGACAAATTATATTTCAATGACTCTCAGAATAGCATCAAGAAAATATATTGATTGCTTTCGAATGAAACTTATTTCGTTATAACTCCCTAAAAGGGAAAGGAACCAGTTGAACCTTAATTTCTTAAGTGTAGTAAGATTACTGAAGATATACTGAGGATATTGAAGGTATGCTACTGAGTGAAATCCCATCCATGAATGAGACGAAATCCCGGACTTCAAGCCAGACATGTATGAAACCTTTGGCAATGAATGAGTTAAGTGGTTTCTGAATATTGCTCTAAAGAGGAAACAAACTGTGTCCAATCTAGAACAACAAAATCAACAGCCCTGAATATTTCCCATGAATTCATGTTATGTACTTTCAAACATAACAAACTTTTATAGCCATTCTTACTGGACTGCTTCTATATTTTAGAGAGACTAGAACCTGGTGGCTTTAGTAGTCTGCCAGGTAAAACGGTAAAAGCACACGGGAAGACATTTAGCTACAATGGTTTGACTTTACGTCCACTCACCTGAATGCACTTCCCTTGCCCCCCATGGTGAGGAATGACGTATCACTGACATTCCGCCGATGAGCTTTCACATGCCTCTGAGGGGATGCTGGTGGAGTCAGGGCAATAAGAGGCTGGTTATCTTTCTGGAAACAGACACAGGTTTCGCTTATTATAGCGTCAATCTCTCGTTTTCAGAACAAAGTACTTATTGAAGTGTGAAGCTCATTCCTGGTGTTCCCCACCGTGATATTGCTGGAATATTGCCAAAAGCGGCATTAAACCCAATGCACTCACTCACTTATTGAGACCACTACGAATGAGTGAGTGAGTTAAGTTTTACGCCGCTTTTAGAAATATTCCGGCAATATCATGGCGGGGGACACCCGAAATGAGTTTCACACATTGTACCCATGTGGGGAATAGAACCCAGGTCTTCGACGTGACAAGGGCACGCTTTAACCACTAGGCTACCCAACCGCCCCCACTACCAATGAGAGTCTGGGCCAGACTAATCAGTAAAGCAATAACCCACACAACCATGGCATGTCACTTAATCAGTCAGAGACTAACCACCAACAGTGACATCTTGTAACCTAACACGATGATGTGGACCATTGCATAGTTTCTTAGGTTAGAATTCACAATAGGTATTGATAGTGTTCCTTGGGCGTTCAATTATCTTTGCTCCCTTTGGCAGAAAATCTATTTGTGCATTGTTAAACCAGTGTGTAATCATTTAAAAACAATAATAATTTTCATTTGTTTTTCCCCACTAGGTGATGTATAGTTACAGCAGTAGAATCAATGTACATTAATACCAGAAGTCAACAAGCATTGTCACTAAGGTGACATAATCCCCCACCGTAAATGATCAAATCAAACTTAAAAAGTAATGAAAGTGAAGGTTGTAATTTAGGATGAAGTTAAATGTCAACAGTCAACCTCTTTGGATATCTTGCTCTGTAGTTGTTCAAACGCACAAATATTTTCAAGACTCACTTTGACCTTGACATGAATGTCTTAGGGTATGAAATATGCAAAAATAGTAATAAAGAAATTGCTTATTGAAAAACATTCAAGGGAAGTCTTGAAAGTCTATGAAGAAAATCCAGTGAATGAATCTTGAGATCTCGCTGACAACCTTTACATGCTGAAATCTTCAAAGTGTCGCCGTGACCTTGAATGTTATGTGAAGGTCACCAAAATCAACTGGAACTTGCACCTTCCCTAGATGAAGCTTGGTGTCAAATATGAAGAACGTCCAGTGAATGGTTCTTGAGATATCTCGCTGACAATCTTTACATTCAACATGCTGAAGTCTTCAAAGTGTCGTCGTGACCTTGAAAATTAACTGAAGGTCACCAAAATCGACTGGGCCCTGCGCTTTCCCTCGATGAAGCTTGATGTCGTATATGAAGAAAATCCAGTTAACGGTTCTTGAGGTATCTCGCTGACAAGCTTAACATGCAGCTTAACATGTTGAAATCTTCAAAGTGTCACCATGACCATGAAAATTAGGTGAACGTCACCAAAATTAACTGGGCCCTGCGCCTTCCCTAGATAAAGCTTGGTGTTGAATATGAAGAAAATCCAGTGAACGGTTCTTGAGATATCTCGCTGACAGGGGTAAAACATTAAAGTCCCCTTGTGACCTTGAACTGAAGGTCAAGGTCAGCAAACCTGACTGGGACCTTTCTTTTACTGTGATGTACCTATGTACCAAATATGAAAAGAATTCAGTCAACGGCTCTTAAGATATTCTAATTCGTATGTACGGACGGACGGAGCCTAATACTATATCCCCCGCTTCGTGCGGCGGGGGGATAATAACTAAACCACAGATCTGTAATACAGGAACACATTCTGAAAGTGAGTGAGTGAGTGAGTTATTTTTAACGTCACATCGGCAATAATTCAGCCATATCGTGACGAAAACTATTTATACAATAATAAGTGAAATGAGAACATTTGACATTGAAATGGAATATATAGAGAGATTATAAACCTGCCGACAAAGGACAGTAAAGCAACCAGAATATCACAGATATATAAATAAAACTAGTAATCGAATCTAAAACAGTTTAACTATAGGGGACAACACAATATAAAAATGGGCTATAAATCGCCAACAACTGAAGGTAGATCACCATACCAGGGACCATGGGGACTTACATTACTTTTGCTACCTGCATGGACCCTAGTTGGATTTACACCATCCCTTCAGCCATTGGCAACAGAAGAGAAATCTAGCCATAAATTAAAAGCACACATATTCTACGATTAAAAACGTGGTAAGCCTATATTTACTCTAAATGTGTTGGGACTTACGTACCCCCTCAGCATTCTGAAAGTGAGTGAGTGAGTTTAGTTTTACGCCACACTCAGCAATATTCAAGCTATATGACAGCATTCTGTAAATAATAGAGTCTGGACCAGACAATCCAGTGATCAGCAGCATGAGCATCGATCTGCGCAATTGGGAACCGATGACATGTGTCAACCATCTCAGCGAGCCTGACCACCCGATCCCATGAGTCGCCTCTTATGACAAGCATGCATTCTGAAAGTATGCCTAATGTCATGATTCATGTTAGCATGCTGTTGTACTGTTTATGTTATTCAATTCATCCTTGAATACAAGCAGCTAATAACTGGGGAAAGTGATGTGGTTTGTGCATTTTAAGCAAATACACAACTTATTTGGAGCTGATGGAATTGCCAATGGGTTATTTTCCTGCCACCAACACATTCAAGCTCACCTGATTATCATCAACAGTGTTCATCTTTGGAGCAGGAACTACAGGCTTTTTAAACATATCCTCCTGCGTTGACACAGATGGTGGTGTTGTCTCCTTCGGGTTGTTGCTGTTGTTGTTGCTGCTGCTGCTGCTGCTGCTGTTGTTGTTGTTGTAACTGATGGTGATGTAGGTCATCATCAATCTGTATTAACTGTCCTGTTTCCACAGAGGCAACGCCCCCTGCTCCCTGTTCTTGGAATGGGTCAGAGAAGTTGGCAGGGAATATTAAGTTTTCAGCACTATGCGACTGTGAGATAGCCTGCTGTCTGTACTGGTCACTGAGAGCATGCTGTAACACTGCAGGGGGCTGGGACGAGTACATCTGGGAGCCCTGGGGGACGGGCAGCTGCTGCTGACCCAGGAACTGCATCTGCTGTGAGTTGAAGACAGGTGCTTGCCCTGGGGGGTACTGTGGTGATGGCTGTTGAGGGTACTGTGGGGAGGGTGCCAGGTGTTGTTGGCCTGTGTAGCTTGGAGATGGCTGCTGGGGATCTGGGGACAAGCACAACAATGTTTTGTAACAACAAATCACAGTGTCATGTGACAAGCGACAAGAAAAAGGTTTCATGAAAGTTAGAAACTAATATAACCATTGAAAACATTTTACCAATATGTAAAACAAAAATTGATAAAACAGTAAGATCCTTTCAAGAATGATAAGCACAAAATGCAAGAGTCACATGCATAATCAGTCTGAACCAGATTATGGTGATCACACTATCCTGTTATACAAAACATGGGTTGCTGCATACAGATTCTGCTCTTTTAAAGATATTTTCTGAATCCATATGCCCATCAAAGCCAAATAGAAAAGAATTAACCAAGAAAACAATCCTTGAACACTTCTGCATCAAGCACTGAGCTGACTCTGGGATACTTAACCTATCATGCTATTGCACACAAGAAGACATGGTCATCAATATCGCCCACCACAGTGTTCTGTTCCTATTTTGACAACTATTCATTCTTCCTACAAATAGCTACACATAAGCTGTTAAATGGGAAAACGTTTCCTTTGGGGATAACGTGCACAAAGTCAATCTCAATCTTTATTTCAGTACCGAGGAGGCCACAGGCCTATAGTTCATTTCATATATACAATTTTATAATCATGAGATTTTAGATTGGTTAGGTCTTCGATTATAATCTAGGGATATAGGTTTTAGCTCCGTTCGTCCGAGATGATTGGGGACAGATTTTCTCAACAACAAAAAATGTTATAGAAAAAGGAAACGGTGTTACAATTTGTTACACTATGGCCCTTGTTATGCATTTCTTGACTTAGTTTTCTTCTCTATTGAATTCTTCAAATGAATTTGTAATTTAAAATGTTGCGGTTTTCATTTATCAAGCCATGTTTTTTATTGATTTAAATTATTCATTATTACAATTATCAACATTTTGATGACTATTAGAGTTCTATTTCCAGTAGAGTAGGTATGTTGTTCTCGATGAAAATGCTGAAAGTATTTAGGTTGGCATATCAACTTACCAACAGGTGTATTAGGGTTGCTGACTGAGGGTCTTTTCCTTGGTACTATAGCAGTCTGAATGGGCAATCCTAGACCTCCACTCTGAGGCATTGCCGACCCCTTCGGCCTCTGTCGAGGTGTCACACTCGTACTCTCTATTGATGATGACACCACCGACCTACACAAGATATAAACAGTTGATAATCACCTAAATCACTATAAATTGCTTTCTTCAAGGTGCCGCAATAAACCTAAAACGTTAAACTGGCTGAATGGTTTTAAAGGGCTAAAAATAGTGAGTGAGTGAGTTTAGTTTTACGCCGTTTTTAGCAATATTCCAGCAATACCACGGCGGGGTACACGAGAAATAGGCTTCACATATTGCACCCATGTGGGAAATCGAACCCGGGTCTTTGGCGTGATGAGCAAATGCTTTAACCACAAAGCTACCCCACCGCTCCAGCTAGAAACTGAGAGACTATAAATGAGTCTCACACACAAAAGCAAAACAAATCCAACATACCCTACTTCAGGAAAGTCTATAAACACAGAAGAGTCTATAGCTCTAGGACTCTAGAAAAGAATGAAGAGCAGACAACCATGTCTATTTTGTAAAATCCAAAAGTCTGAAACGGAAGGCAAACAAGTCACTAGATCATGTTTGAGGATCAAGGTCAATCTAGTAGGAAGGTGGCTGACTTACTTCTGTGCTGTTGTCCTGGTCTGACGTGCCTCTGCCTCGGACATGGGTGAAGGAAGGGAGTTCATGTCTGGTGACGCAGAAGACTGGAAGACAGGTACATAGTTCTAACTCCGTCAACTCAACAGCTAATTCACGTCAGTGTTAAAAAATTGTGCATGAAGGTCAAGGGGTCTATGTCTTAACCTTAAAATTTAATGTAAAGATTTCAAGTGTTTCTTGATACAAATACTGCAGAAGAATAACTTTAAAATTGCTAGTGTACTCCAGTACAGTGGCACATGTAAAATCACTTGCCCTGACAATTTTTCCACTATACCGGCTGATTTTCCTGTTCATTTTTTTAAAATAAGCAACATAAATAACACTGGAAAGTCAACTGGACACCGGTACAGCGTGATATACAACTCTGCTAGCCCGACAGAAAAAAGCACTGGACTGGGACGTCGGGCATTGGGTTATTTCCACCCCTGGTAAAGGGGCCCCATACTTAATTTCCAACAATGTATGGCCACACCAATATGCCCCTTCTTCCCCAAATAACTGTTATTTAATCCTGCCTCATATTACTCTACTTGGTATAATAAAACCAACCAGTCAAAATAAAAGCATACACTACAATGTCTGTTATTAAACAGTCAGCATAACACAACACATTTTAACATCATAGCTAATCCACTTCATGAGTCTACACTTAGTCGGAACAAATGACCTGACATATCGGCCATTACATATGGGTGAGTGAGCTTAGTTTTACGCCGAACTCGACCGCCTCTGTGGTGTAGTGGTTAGAGCGTCCGCCCGCGGAGAGCGGAAGGTCGCGGGTTTGATCCCCGACCGCGTCATACCGAAAGACGTTAAAATATGGTACTTGTTGGTCCCTGCCTGGCGCTAGGCATTAATGGGTACAACAAGGACTGGTCGGCTCGGAGTCAGTATAATGTGTCTGAGTGGGGTATTCATGCTTCACTGCGGCATGGTATCTCAGTGGGCTAGCACTATAAAACCAGCCTAAGTCTGGGCTAGTACAAGCAGCCGCACATACACGTACACATACACACGCATGCACGTCGTCATATGAGCGAAATATTCTCAAGCACGACGTAAAACACTTTCACCTCACCTTAAGCCGAACTCAGCAATATTCCAGCTATGTGGCGGCGGTGCAATCATATATGAAATAATACAGTACTAGAATAGATCGGACAATTGGTGTACGGTGCAGGAGATACAATAACCACTGTAAAGATACAGAAGCTTGTAAATTCAAAAGAGTTGTAATATTATTATCAATGACAGACACTTTACATGTAACTAAGGCCATGATGCAAGAGCATTCATCAGGTTGAAATTGAACAAGGCTTTATCATAAGATACGATTAAGAGTGAACGAGCGAGTTTAAGGGGGCATATTTATTCACTACAAGTGCTTATTATCCCCTCTTGGTGAAATGGTTAGGTGAGTAAGTATGATTTTACGCTGCTTTTAGCAATATTCCAGCAACATCACGGCATGGGATGCCAGAAATGGGCGGACATGTTGTTATCAAGAAGAGCATTCTTTTTCTTTCTGAATAAAACTAACAGGAATTCATCTACAATTTGAAGTTTTCTTGGCAGTCAAATAAGGAATTTTCCATTACTGGTTGGATTTTCTAAAAAGTTGTTAAATACCTCTTTTGATCATGTAATCAGTAAAATACAAATCACCTTGCCAAAAACATCAGTATATATTACGATAACAATAGTAACCATTTGAACATGAACTGGGATGTTTTTATTTCACATGCCTTATTGACGTTTGTTCTAGACTTGGGGCTTAACTTTAGCCTCTGATAAATCCCTGACATTGTGACCAGGGGAATAGAAGGGACACTTACATTCATATTTGGCACAGGGTTTTCCCGGCCCATCAAACGGAAAGCAACACAACACACTTGGTATATATCAGGCCTCTTTTCAGGTTCAACTTCAAGCATGTAGGCTGAAACAAATACACCACAGAATCATCAATAAACTCTCAACTTAATTATTTTTAAATGCAACTGGTCAAGGAGAGAGTAATAGGGTTTAACAGAGAGGAAACGAGTAGTTTACCACAATGACGTAGATCAGAATTATTTTAGCTGTATGACTGCTGCCTGTATTTAATACCACCAGGTTTGACCAATAATCCAGGAATATCAAAGCAGGGAAACTAGCATGGGTCTTAACACAATGTACCCATTTTGGGAATCGTACCTGGGTCTACAGTGTGACATTAATCAGGTCTTTACGAAAAAACATTTTGGGCAATGTCAATTTATGCTGGTGTATGATGCCATACAATCACCTAAATAACAAAACAAGGTTGTTGGAGTTAATCCACAACTCACCTATTAATGAATGTAGTTTCTTTTCATGACTCATCTATTAATGAATGTGGTTCTTTTCAAGACCCACCTATTCAGAATGTAGTTTCTCTTCATGACTCACCTATTAATGAATGTAGTTTCTTGGAGTATCTGGAGTTATCTGGGACTGTGTAATTGCCACTCTGAATGGCCAGTGAGCTTTCCCCAAAAGGAAGCGAGAAGAAGCACAGTTTGTACAACAAGCAGCCCAACGCCTGGAAGAAGATAGAGTACCAACTGCTCCAAGACAAGAAGACAAAGACTCGGAAATCACGAGGGACATTACTGGTTCACAATAATCATGAGTGAGTGAGTATATTTTAAGCCGCACTAAGCAATAATCCAGCTATATGGTGGTGGCCTGTAAATAATCAAGCCTCAACTAGACAATCCAGTGATCAACAGCATGATCATTGATCTACGCAATTGGGATATGATGACACGATTGTGTCAACCACATCAGCAAGCCTGGCCACCCGATCCCGTTAGTCTCCTCTAACGACAAGCAAGGGTTACTAAAGATCAATTCTAACCTGGATCTTCACGGGCCTACAATAATTATGAACCTCTAATACAATTATACAATGCCTAAGTGAAACAGCTCCAGCCAACATATACTGAACAACATTAGAAACGCACCACCCTTATAATACGAAATATCCCCGTCAAGACTGAAATGTACCCAAGATATCGGAGCATCGTTGGTGCATTTTAGTGTGGTGCGTTTCTAATGTTGCTCAGTATATTTCCTTTCTACTATCTTGTTTGAGTGAGCGAGTGAGTACGGTTTTATGCTGCTTTTAGCAATATTTCAGCAATATCAAAACAGGGGACACCCGAAATGGGCTTCAGACATTGTTCCCATGTGGGGAATTGAACCCGCGTCTTCAGTGTGATGAGCAGACACTTCAACCATTAGGCCACCCCAATGCCCCAGCAAACATATGAACTGCACGCTGGTTTAAAAATAACAATCCCCAGTGCTATGTCAGATTAACATTTATGCTGACAGGTGAGAATTATGGAGACCATAGTGCAGCATTGTGAATCGACAATAAGGTGGAATGAAAGGTTATGAGACTCTAACAGTCTAACTTCAGACTGGAGGACTGATTACAAAAGCAGTTAAACATGTTAGAGAACACCCGATTCCTTTCTTATCAAATTTCATATGATAATAATAATAGATTTACTATAGCAATACGAGCATCCATCCACGCAATGAGGACAATCACATGCTATCAACCAAGTCACTTGACCCGAGCACTCCATCTGTTTAGTTTCCTCAAGAATCGGTTGTTGGGAACCTATATTCTCACCGGGAACCCCAGGTAGTGGTGGGAGTTGGACAAGTGTTTTTAACCCATGGCTGTACAACTAGAAAACAACAACTCACCCATATGTCAGCCTTTGTTGTGATGGGTTTCCCCCCATAAAGATCAACCATCTCAGGTGCTCTATATGATAATGTTGTATATCTGAAAAGAAATTTCACATTATAGGTAATTATGAATACATCCATTCTGTCTTAATGCAAGTATCTCTTAAATTTCTTTAATGGTAATGCAATGCCATAAACATATGTCATCTCATTCTAATGTTTATAATGCCGACAGAAGGATTCTTATTCTTTCCAGCATAGCATCTGGGGGAGTGTTCAGAGTTATCTCCCTTTATCTACAAACCTGTGAGTTCCCGCCCTCCCCTTACAACTGTTGTAACCAGTATGGAAACCCAAATGGTTGCACATGTAAATTTATGCATTTTGGAATGCTATTATAGTGAATTGGAGAAAATGAATTTATGTTTGTTTCATAAATCAATTTGGTTCAAGACTGCAGTCGAATGGAAAATCTTCCCCATTGCATTCTGTATACTGAAATATCCTCATGATAGATGAAACACACATTTATATTAACAAAGCAATTTAGCTAGGGGGAGATTATTAGGTATCACCAAATCATCCCTTGTTCGTGAACAGTGTGGGCACAGTTGGGAGCAGTGACTGGTGTATTTCGTAGTCTGATACTTTTTCACTAACTTTTGAATATCCTCTTCAATCTGTTTTACATTATGTGACTCTGGCGTCATGGTTCGACCTGTGGCGCTGCCAAAATCACACAAAACATAATTGCCCCCTTCTCCAATGAGGATGTTCTCAACCTGAAACAAAGACACCAGCCTGTAACACCTGTTTTATGTATGACGATTTGTAACCATGGTAACATTCACAGTGATATGCATTAAAATGATAGTAATCATATTCATCCCATATCATACACATATCATCATGATCATTTCTACAGATGGAACAAGATATATTTAACATATGGATGACAATAGAACAAGCCAGTGATTGACGATTTTAGAAACTTGTCTGACAGAAGTGTGTTGACACTTACCTTGAGGTCCCGGTGTAAGATGGGTGTCTGACAGAAGTGTGTTGACACTTACCTTGAGGTCCCGGTGTAAGATGGGAGTCTGACAGTGGTGGAGACGCGACACTGCCTCGGACACATCACAGAATATTTTCAGCACTTCCTTCTCTGAGAAGCCAGTATTTATCCGGTCATTCATGAGCTGTATGACAGACCCTGGGAACATACAGTCATGTATAAACATAAATGAAAGCACTACAAATTTCAATCTGATTACAACAGTCCTCTATCAAAATACTGGTAGAATTACACTTCCTTCATTTCTGTTATATGTTTGGAGTAAGCAAGTATGGTATTACACCACTTTTAGCAATATTCCAACAATAATCACAATGGGGGACACCAGAAATGAGCTTCACACATTGTACCTATGTGGGCAATCGAACCAGGGTCTTTGGCGTGATGAGCGGATGCTTTAACCACTAGGCTACCCCACCGCCCTATATGCTTGGAAATCCTGACACAGCTTTTACAAAAATAAATCACAACTAACATAAATAGCAATCTTAATAGTTATCTTAGTAAAATTCAAGTATGCTTCAGATGACTTTGGATTTGATAAGTGTAATATTAACTCCCAGAAAATAAAACGTGAAGAAAAAAAATAAGTCATTGTTCCATGCCACATTCAATTTGGTTCGTTCATGAACAATGCAACAATGCATTTATTGAATGGTATTTGTCGTGTGACACCACAAATGACAATATTACAGCTACATGATGACAGCTTGTAAATAACAACCTGGACTGTACAACCCAGTGATAGATGTTTCGAATGTTGAAATAACACAGATACATCCAAGTCACTGAGTCATCCACGAGATCCATTTGTTTGCCTCAGATTACCAGCATACTCTGTTGGGGACATGTTCTAACCTCAAATCCCATGTTATAAATACTTAAGTGCCCAAGCACCCTACCTCTGCAGTACTGCATCAAGATGAGAACCTCATACACTCTGTTTGGTGTCACTGCCACGCTGGAGTCAAGGAAACGGATGATATTCTTGTGACCACTGAGGTCTTTCTGCAAATGAAACATGGTTCTTGAGATTCTTTCAAATTAAGTATCTTCATGTTAACTATTACTGGAGTTATATTCAGTTCAAGCTGATCATCACTTGGTGTATTCATTATACAATTTAACAGACAAAATGGTGAACTTTGACAAACCAGGACTTCCAAATGCCTGAAGACTTTTCTCCCTTGAAGAACAATGGGAATTCATTCAGAGTAACAACAAACTTGATGAGTATGAAAAAATGAGTTTGGAAGAACTCAAGATTTGGGTAAAATATGATAATAAATATTTCACCATGACCCAACTAAATTTGAGCTGCATGAAATATGCATGGCAAATAAAGAAAAATCAATAGCATGACAACACTGTGCATAAATAGCCAATGTCAGCCATCCAGTTAGTGAAGCCAAATATCTTTAGTATCGAATGCAGGCATCACCCATATATAAGTTCGAGTGAATAATGCATAGAATTAGAAGGATTACTTGTCACTTACTTCAACCCAAGACATATCACTCTTGTGAGCTTATGCAACACTGAGTAAGTGAGTTGGGTTTTACACAACTTCTGGCAATATTTCAGCAACATCATGGCAGGGGACACCTAAATGGGACTTCCAACATTCTCAACATGTGGGGAATCAACCCAGATATATAAAGTGACAAGCGAAGGCTTTAACTACTTGGCTAAACATACGCCCCACGTGCAGTATTCAACAGCACATACACAAAAACAAACTGGATACCACATACCCAACACTACCATCAGATACCCAACACTACCATCAGATACCCCACACTACCATCAGATATCCAACACTACCATCACATATACCCCACACTACCATCAGATACCCTACACTACCATCAGATACCCCACACTACCATCAGATACCCTACACTACCATCAGATACCCTACACTACCATCAGATACCCAACACTACCATCAGATACCCCACAGTACCATCAGATACCCCACACTACCATCATATATCACCACACCACCATCAGATACCCAACACCTCGATCAGACACCCAACATCACCATCAGACACCAAACAATACCATCAGATACCTAACACTTCCATCAGATACCCAACACTACCATCAGATACCCAACACTTCAATCAGATACCCAACCCTACCATCAGATACCCAACACTACCATCATATATACCCTAAACTACCATCAGATACCCTATACTACCATCAGATACCCCATACTACCATCAGATACCCTACACTACCATCAGATACACAACACTACCATCAGATACCCCACACTACCATCATATATCCCCAAACTACCATCAGATACCCCACACTACCATCAGATATCACCACACTACCATCAGATACCCAACACTACCATCAGATACCCCACACTAGCATCATATATCCCCAAACTACCATCAGATACCCCAAACTACCATCATATATCCCCACACTACCATCAGACACCCAACACTACCATCAGATACCCAACACTACCATCAGATACCCCACAGTACCATCAGATACCCCACACTACCATCAGATACCCAACACTACCATCAAATACCCAACACTACCATCAGATACCCAACACTACCATCAGATACCCAAACATTCCACCAGATACCCCAAACTACCATCAGATACCCCACACTACCATCAGATACCCAACAATACCATCAAATACCCAACAGTACCATCAGGTATCCAACCCTACCATCAGATACCCAACACTACCATCAGATACCCCACACTACCATCATATATCCCCAAACTACCATCATATACCCCACACTACCATCAGATACCCCACACTACCATCATATACCCAACACTACCATCAGATACCCCACACTACCATCATATATCCCCAAACTACCATCAGATACCCCCATCAAACTACTACCATCATATATCCCCACACTACCATCAGATACCCAACACTACCATCAGATACCCAACACTACCATCAGATACCCAACACTACCATCAGATACCCCACAGTACCATCAGATACCCCACACTACCATCATATATCACCACACTACCATCAGATACCCAACACTACTATCAAATACCCAACACTACCATCAGATACCCAACACTACCATCAGATACCCAAACCTTCCACCAGATACCCCACACTACCATCAGATACCCAACACTACCATCACATACCCAACACTACCATCAGATACCCAACGCTACCATCACATACCCAACGCTACCATCAAATACCTAACACTACCATCACATACCCAACACTACCATCAAATACCCAACACTGCCAACAGATACCCAAATACCCAACACTGCCAACAGATACCCAACACTGCCAACAGCTACCCAACACTACCATCACATACCCAACACTACCATCAAATACCTAACACTACCATCAAATACCCAACAGATACCCAACACTTCCATCAGATACCCAACACTACCATCAGATACCCAACACTACCATCAGATACTCAACACTTCCACCAGATACCCAACACTACCAACAGATACCCAACACTTCCACCAGATACCCCACACTACCATCAGATACCCAACACTACCATCAGATACCCAACACTACCATCAGATACCCAACAGTACCATCAGATACCCAACACTACCATCAGATACCCAGATACCCAGACTACCATCAGATACCCAACACTACCATCAGATACCCAGATACCCACACTACCACCAGATACCCAACACTTCCACCAGATACCCAACACTACCATCAAATACCCAACACTGCCAACAGATACCCAAATACCCAACACTGCCAACAGATACCCAACACTACCATCAGATACCCAACACTACCATCAGATACCCAACACTACCATCAAATACCCAACATGCGTCAATGATAACAAGTGAGTATATACTCAAAGGCTAACATTATTTGGAGCCCCGGTTTGGTTTTAAATTCTTCAGAACAACATTTCAATTACATCATGTGTCTGCTTTGTCTGTGCAAGACTGCATACACATACTATTTTGGTGAAACCCATGGTATGGTACCGGTAAACCATAATTCAAATGAAGAATGAAAATTTGTTGAAATGCATTTTGGCAGGGAACTTTTTAAAACAATATTGCAGCACCTAAACTGACTAGCCATCTGTGCTGTTTGAGAAAACTTTTGTTAAACATATTTATAGGACAGAAAATGAAATCAGATAAAAGCTCTGCTGCTGTAAGAGTAAGCCACTTGAGCTGACAACACCAGACACAACTGATGGACACACATCCAGTATACTCCAAGAGCGAAGAGGATGTTATAGCATAAATTGGTGAATAATGTGCGATCATCACCAACAGAAAAGTACTCACAGCAATTTTGATTTCTTTTTGACAGACTGCCAAATCACGGTCATTGTTGACGTACATGCGCTTGAGGGCATAGCGGGATCCATTTTGAACCTTCACCAAAAACACAATGGCAAAACCACCTGGAAATAAAACAGAATTGATCAGTTATTGTAGTCGGTCTCACCCAGCATGATCATTGACAGCTGCTGTAACATGTGGTAGCCAAACCAAAAATGTCAGATCACTGTCAAGTCATTCACAAGTCTTTCACGAGGAAGTCACAATATGGTTGAAATATTGCTGATGTGACTATAAATATTACCTCACTCAATCTTTTCCGAGGCAGTTACGAACCACACTTCAGTAATTCTCAAGCCACTAACAAGTCAGTATAGACTTGTGGCTAGAATGCATTATACCGGATACCTAGCAGGGTTAGGTTAGGGGTGAGGGGTTAGGGGTTAGGGGTTAGGGTGTAGTTTCATCTCAGTTATATATGTTTTCACCTTTCCGCGCTCGCATCACGTGACCTAATTAAATATGGCAGGCAGGTATCCAGTATAATGCATGTGTACCAGACTTATCGTAACTCTTGCTGTTTGTATAGAGTTATCGCCAACTTCAATCAAGGCACTACATAACAATGATAACACTGCACTGTGTTAGTGACACTGACATTTGTATCTGTGGTAGTGTAATGAGATTAGAAAGACCGGGTTTCTCAATATCTTCATCTCCGTCCATCGGATCAGAATCATATCCAAAAGCATCATAATTAGTTCTAATGCAGCTGTCATCGTTTTCACTAATATTCAATGATAGTCTAGGTTTTTTATTTTTCAGTGCAAAGGTGGATAAGTACTATGGTGTTAAATAAAGCAGACTGGTGTGTGTATGTCAGAATCTTGTATAACTGATGCACGGCACACAGTACATAATAGTTTAACATAACCAAATTATTGCATCAGAGCATGGAACTAGTGAAATCTTCATTGCCACAGACAACAAGTGTGGTTATACAAGTCTAAAGGAAACTGACAATGAAGACAGTCCAGGCAAGTCATGCCAATTAACAGTAAAAGAACATCAGGTCAGGTATTTGAAACCACATGAAGTAAAGTAAATATTAAGATGTCATTTTGTTGTCATGGATAGTATACTGGGGAGATAATTCGAGAGAAAAATCATGTCAACCTTTCTGCTGTTATGTCAATAAAGTTTGGAATAAACATTTGTTGTGAATGAATTTCTGCATTGATTTTTGCTAATAGTTAAGAAATAAACTTGAGATTTATGCGGAAAACAATTAAAACACTATGATGGTAGAGAATTGCTTCAATTGTCATAATTTGGTAATTGATGATAATGGCAGAAAGTTTAAACAAGGTAAACATATTGTCACTTTGAAACTCTCAGGACTAGTGAAATAAGGCACACACTACAAGTGAGTGAGTAAGTTTAGTTTTATGTCACACTCAGCAATATTCCAGCTACATGGCGGCGGTCTGTAAATAATCAAGTCTGGACCAGACAATCCAGTGATTAGCAGCATGAGCATCAATCTGCTCAATTGGGATATGATGACATGTGTCAACCAAGCCAGCGAGCCTGCCCACCCGATCCCCTTAGTCGCCTCTTACAAGCATGGGTTACTGAAGGTTCATTCTAATCCGGACTTCCACGGGTCTCACACACACTACTAACCTTTGGACAAAAGGCTGAATAAATTAAACACTTCAACATTTGTTCCTGTAAGCTTTCTGTCTTCAAACACAAACTGACAAACGTTTTGTTTCATATTTCAAAGGCAAAAATGAAGCAGTCCCTCATACAGTCAAAATCCCCCAAACACATGGTACTTTACAAATACTACCTGATGGAGACATACATGAGAGTGAGTGATGCACGTATGTGCAGTGGAAGTGTATATATTCTCATTTTAAATCTGTAACACATCTCATGTGTACTCTCGCTACATGTCCTGGTGAAAGATCCATCCACATCTACATAATATCAATTGATGAATGGCAATGTTTTCATATTGATGCAAAAAGCAATTTAATGAATATCAGCACTACATAAATAATTTACAGGCAGAGAAACATCTACAATTATAATGGTTACCATAGATAATGAAATGAACAATGGGGCAACAGAAAATTCAATTTAATGGATCAGTCTATCATTAGGGCTGATTAAGCAAATTAATTATATTAATTAATTAATATTGTGGTACGTTTGAGTCGATATATTGATGTTAGCGTTCAAATCAATGACAACCCTAGTGACAGACACAACAAAGGTAAAATAATCCTTTTGTTCTGTGTTAATATAACAGTAACATTTACAGTAAATCTTTTGGGGTCTTTGAAAGCAAGTATTTTACAATACATCTCTCAAGACTAGTAAACAAAATTAGCTATCTGAAATATTTTTTCATTATTTTCCACCTAAAAAGTTTGGGAATAAAATAAAATATTCATATTGAGCTGTGATTAACATATATTAGTTTGAGGCACCATGTTTGAGAGATTCAGTTCTGTGAGCAATATGGATTCCTTTACTTACAATTGTAAATCTATGTTCGTTGTTTTCACAGGTAAAAATCAATATTCCATACTTTAGTGCCAAATGCAGAGCTAAAATAAGTGCCTAAGTGCACACTTAGCAATCATGAAGAAAAACTATTCAGTAGATTAAATGTCCTTTCATAAAAATACACCAGACAAACCATATTGTGATCGACAAGTTAAACCTGGGTATTCAGATACAGAAAAGGATATTTGAGACAGCAGTTAACAACAAACAAGGTGAACGACATTCAGAGAGGTCAGAGATGGATCAAAGTATTGTTCTGGTTGCGACTCGGCAAACCGAAAATTGAAATTCATATCATGCATATGGTACACTCAAAAATAATGGGTTATTTAACTACAAGTAATTAACTCTATCTTAATTTTAGGATGTGAAGTTTCGTGTATTTGTCATTTTGGTACAGAAATATATGTCAGTTTTCTTTTCCTTTAATCTGCTTAAGTATGAATTTCTTTTTCCATGAAAAATGATGTCATCACTTGTGAAAATGATTCAAGTGTAAATTTAAAGCAGCAGTGATCATGCTAAGATGGCTGTTTCCTCAACGAATAAAGCTCTTGAACAAATGATGTGACAGGGAAACTCAAGGAGGAGCAGGAAGTAGATACTGTTAATAGGAACCTAAATGTCATTGTTGTCTTGCCTCAGGTCAGTTCAGGTCAAACTCAGATTCTCTTTATTCCTGAAACATCACAGTAATAATGCTGACTTGGGACATTTTGGTTGAGATACAGATTTCCATAATTACCCTACTTTCAATTTAAAATCTTTTTTCAAATTATTGTGAAAACAAAAATGCTGAGAGAATATATTGATGTGAACAGCTTTTCACATTTTTTTTACGGTTAATGTAACAAGAATGTCAGAAAAGAAGTAGAACTCAGATATTTACAACTTATGTGAAATCGATGATCACAGCTATGGTGTTTCCAAACCAAGAATCATAAGGATTAGTGGAGGACTTGGCTATATTGGTAGCCAAAGGATGAAGTCTACCATGCTAGTTCAGTACAGTGTCTCCAACTACATGGTGTCCAGTGGCAATTATCATACAATAGTCCTTTTTTTCAGTTATAAATAGGGCTGCAATGATTTGGTTCGATTCAGGAATCTGACACCTTAGTTTCGACTTTCGATAACCATTATCACTATTTCAATTCGATATTTGAATACCTATTTGAATTATTTCCACACAGCCAGACGTAATTTTGACTCCAACTAAAGCAGTTTCGAGAACTGAAATAAAGTGAAGCGTGATTGGATGATGCCGGGCTAAGTATCGAATGAGAATTGTTACTAATGTTAGTAGACATCACCAAGTTGACGATGGGTTTCACACTAAAAAACAGAGATAAATAAAATCTTATGTTTTCTACTTGTATGAAGAACCGAATCGAGGGTCCAATATCAACAATCAAATCGAATCGAGGTCTGGGTGAATCGTTGCAGCCCTAGTTATAAATCTAATTCAAAATTAACCCTTCATAGTTTCAATACAAAAATTAAAAATACTGTTCGAGAAATATGACATCAAAGGCCCTCAACACTTTAGGATGTGATCACTTTGACTGTTTATATGTTATTTCCTGTTTCCAATCTCAAAGGAAATATCCTGTCAATTCTGTGTTGTATCATGACATAGTGAATTGTTTTCAGATAGGTTTCAGATAGAGGCTTGATATCAAATTGATTCTAAGTTTCATATTTCCATGAGGATGTGCTGACATTTTGATCTAAAAATCACAGAGTCAAGAACACAGAAAAAGGCACCACTTTCAACATGTTCAGCAATATAACCCATAAAACTACACATGGCTGGTTGACATGTATAGAAAGTCTTGTGAAGAAACATCGACCAGATTTTCAGATGAATAAATAATGCACATGCTTATCACTTCCATTCTATAATGGCTGGGGGCAGATCTTCCAGGTCAAGATTAAAGCACAATACTGCTTAACTGTGGAATCTACATTTGATGAAAGAGTGACTGAGTTGGGCTTAATGCCACTTAAACGACTTTGGAAAAACATTTGATTTCTAACATTGCGTGATAGCTTAATGAGTGATGTAAAAAGTGAATCAGGTCTGAAACATTCCCCACAAGCATGTCAATAGGCCTGAAAAGGGCCTGCTCCATTACCATAGCAAATCTAAACTTTGATGCCTCATATCCAGTAGATTTACGCTTAGTAATGTGAACTGACTATTCTACATTGGGTGCCATTTTTAGCCTGGGGAATTGTGCTGTTATTTTATGAGAGACATAAGCATGCTAAGGTAATTAATACACAATATGATAAATATTAAAAAGAGATTCAGGCTGATTTTGAACATGTTGTAACTTGATTTGACACCAAATCCCAAATTTTGATATGTGTTCTTAAAACCTCCAATGAAAATATTTTTATTGATACTGACCTGTCATATAAATCACTTTGAGTCTCCTCAATTGACATATCAAGTGTAATAAATAGTGTTATCATGTGTAAAGTCTCAAGATCTTTTGATGTTGAGAACTGTTTGATAACAAAACCTTTGTCAGTA